AAAATCATTTTAAATATATTTCCATTCCTGGTAGTAATGTATCACTGAACATATTTACTTTCTTTGCTATTATTTATATATTTATTAATAATTTTTAAGTTATATAAATGTAGAAACATGGCTTTCGGTTGAGAGGGAGAGTTTACACTTCGACAACTTACTGTATGGAGATTTAAATTCCGCAAAGTGTTTTTCAGTTTATTGTAATTTTTCCCCATGGGAATCTCTGTCTTTAGCCACGGAGGTAGTCTTAACCTAAGGAAAGCCAAACATAACTATCTATTAACAAATATGCTGCCAAACAGTTACACAACTTAGAAGTTAATTTCCTCTATTACGATTCCTAGTTAATAATTTTTTCCATAATCTTGGAATAACTCTTACAATTTCTGTCATAGGAGTAAGAATACAGACTCAAATTTAGCCTTGTTCAAACTACTTTAGAAAACACCAATAATGGAGTCTAACAAGGCACCAGGATCATGTCTACCTTTTTTGCAAAGGCAGAGTTACACTATTCTAATAAAAGAATGAGTAAATTTTGGGAGAACGATCCAAGATGGCCGATCGCTAACATCCTGGGATTGCAGCTCTCAGGGAAGGCGCGGAGAACTAGAGGACGCCACACTTTCAGACAAAGTCTGGTAGCTCACGGAGCAGAAGATCCCCCAGTGGTGGAAACACATGAGTCGCCAGCGCGACTCTCGTGGTCGGCGCAGCGGTTCCGCCGGCACCTCGAAGCGGCAGCGCTCGGCGCAGAGTAAACAGGACCGGTTCCCCTTCTGACCGAGGTTTGGAGCCCCGGGAAGGCAGAGTCGCCTACTACGGAAACAAGAAGGAAGCCCGACAGGAGAATCCTGGGCAGAAAAGCACCATCAGTTTTAACGCCGCTGCTCTGGCCCTGGGAACTAACAACCTGGACGTCCACTCAAGAGACCTAATCTGAAAGTTGGTAATTTCAAAGACGACAGGAGGATAAATTTACAATGACGGGAAGAAACCAGCGTAAGAAAGCTGAGAATACTCAAAGTCAGAACGCCTCTCCCTCTAAAAATGATCACAGTTCCACATCAACAATGGAAAAATGCTTGATGGAGAACGAGCACCTCCTGATGACAGAATCACTCTTCAAGGAATGGATAATAACAAACTTCGGTGAGTTAAAAGAACGTGTTGTAGCCCAACGTAAAGAAACTAGGAACTTTGAAAAAAGGTTTGATGAAATCCTATTGAGAACAGACAACTTAGAGAGGAGTATGAGTGAATTAATGGAACTGAAGAATACAATACAGGAACTCCGAGAAGTATGCACAGGTTTAAACACTCGAATTGTTCAAGCAGAAGAAGGGATATCAGAGGTCAAAGTCCAACTTAATGAAATAAAACGAGAAAACAAGATTAGAGAAAAAAGGATAAAAAGGAATGAGCAAAGTCTCCAAGAAATGTGGGACTATGTGAAAAGACCATATTTACGTTTGATAGGTGTACCTGAATGCGACGGAGAGAATGAATCCAAGCTGGAAAATACTCTTCAGGATATTATTCAGGAAAATTTTCCTAAACTAGCAAAGCAGGTCAACATTCAACCCCAGGTAATACAGAGAACACCACAAAGATATTCCTCAAGAAGAGCAACCCCAAGGCACATAATCGTTAGATTCACCAGGGTTGAAACGAAGGAGAGGATACTAAGGGCAGCCAGAGAGAAAGGTCAGATTACCCACAAAGGCAAGCCTATCAGACTTAGAGCAGATCTCTTGGCAGAAACTCTACAGGCCAGAAGAGAGTGGGGGCCAATATTCAACATCCTCAAAGAACAGAACCTTCAGCCCAGAATTTCATATCCAGCCAAACTAAGCTTCACAACTGAAGGAAAAATAAAATCTTTTATGAACAAGCAAGAACTCAGAGATTTTATTACCACCAGGCCTGCTTTACAAGAGCTTCTGAAAGAAGCATTACACACAGAAAGAAACAACCAGTATTAGCCTTTCTAAAAATACACCAAAAAGTAAAGAGCACCAACATAAAGAAGAATTTACACCAACAAATGGATAAAACAGCCAGTCAACATCAAATGGCAGTAACCCTAAATTTAAATTGACTGAATTCCCAATCAAAAGACACAGCCAAAACCCAACGGCATGTTACATCCAGACCTGTTTCACATGCAAGGATACACAAAGACTCAAAACAAAGGGATGGAGAAAGATTTACCAACCAAATGGAGAGCAAAAATAAATAATAAATAAATAAAAAGCAGGAGTTGCAATTCTTGTATCGGATAAAATAGATTTTAAAACAACAAAGATATAGTGGTAAAAGGATCATTGCAACAACAAGAGCTAACGATCCTAACACCCAGATAGGAGACTTAGATTCAATGAGACAGAAAATTAATAAGGATATCAAGGACTCGAACTCAGATCCAGAACAAGTAAACTTAATAAATATTTATAGAGCTCTCCACTTCAAATACACAAAATATACATTCTTGTCAATACCACATCACATCTACCCATTAGTTTAAATGAAACATTGATTGGCCATTATTAATACCCAATTGTTTTCAAAATAAAGCAATATTTCCATCTACTCTCCCTCTTTCTCTTCCTCTTTCTTCCTCTCCTTTACTTATTTTTTTGTTTTCTTTCCTTCTCTCAAAAAAAAAAAAAAAGAAATCAACTTGTAAACCTCTAGATCCAGGTCGGCAATGTCTCTTTCATTGCTTGATTTCCTTTCTTCCCTTCCCTTCCCTCCCTCCCTCCCTCCCTCCCTCCCCGCTTCCTCCCTTCCTTCCTTCCTTCATCCCTTCCTTCCTCCCTACTGTCCTTATTCCCTTCCTTCCTGCCTTCCTCCCCCCACAAAAAAAAAAAAAAAAAGAATGAGTAAATTTTAAAATATCTCATCCCTCATGAACAATACTGCCAAAAAGTACTGTATTTGTTTAGAGTAAAGAACGATCACAACTATGCACTGTCTGCTCTACATTCTAGATTTTACGGTGGTTACTCAATGGAAAAAAGACCTAAAATTTGTCATGGAGACTGTATGTCCTTGGTCCTCCATGACTTCCATCTACTTGTGAAATAGAAGTAGCTGGATTAAGTTCTCTCTCAACACAAGCTACCCTCTACATAAAATTCCATCATTCTTTTAAGTTAAGGCAAGGTATCCACAGGTGATATGTAAATTGACTAGGAGAAGCACAAGTTAGATCATCAACGCCTAGTAATCCAGATCCAACAGACTAGTAGCAAGACAATAATCTTTAAAGAAGTTAGACGCTGGGTAGAAAATGAGGAGATGACAGTGGAAGGGTGCAGAGAAAAGAGAAAGATTCTAACAATTTCATCTACTTACCTGTTCTATCTAGTTCTGTTATCACATCTTTCTAATGACTTTTAGCTAAATTTAACAAGTCTGATATTAAAAATAGATTCTAGGGCTGGGTTATATCTGAAAATAATGCACAATAAAGGAACGAGACATTACAATTATCTCAAATTTTCAATTACCTTTCTCCTTTCTGGCGTTTTAGGTTTCCTTTATATTCATCCCAGGTGCTCTTGTCTGCAAGATCACCTGATACAAAATCTTGAAGGTCTGGTCCATTTTGTAAAAGTTCCTTTTTTTCATCTGGCAAGGAACTTAACAGTCTGACTGGGCTGCAGAAATATCTCCCAAATACCTAAAGAAACAGTCATTATGACATTCATTTAGCGGAGTCTGGAATAATTTCATTTTAACCCATCATGACACCTAAAAGGAAGGGTAAAGCCAAAAAAGTCATTCAGAAATTATCAAACTAGGAGCTCTAGTAGCCAAGGGGATTAGAATATAAGATAACTGAAGGAACCAAACCTAAAACAGGAGTTGAGTGTTTACTGCTGAGTTTAGAAGAGATTTGGAAATCTCTGGAACTATCTAACATATATCACACTTCCATGTACTCTACCTACCAGGAACTAGGTGTTTGTCTTTCAACAAGATTGAACTGCAATAACTGAGGAAGGTGTCACAGTGTAAAATTTTTCTAGTCCTGACTTGAATCAGGGACGTTTGAAGTGAAGTGTGCAATAAGTCTCTACAGCTTTGAGAATAAGCATAAGTATTGAAACGCGGAGGTTAATAATGCCCAGTTGGTTTCAGAAAACTGGAAGGGGGAAAACCAAGCCTAATGTTTTTTACTTTCTAGGTTACATTATTTCTGTGTTTAAACATGGCAGTCATAAGCATAAGAAATCATGGTATTCGGCTTTTACATCAGAACACAGAAGTGCATGAGAGAGCAAAAACACTAAAAAATCCACGAGTCTGCACATGCAACGCAAAAGAACCTTCAACAATTCAAAGAGTGCCTGTTAGGGTGTTGCACGATTGCTACTGAACTTCTCCATGTCTACAGCTAAAGCCCAGAGGACAAGTTTGTGTTTTCCGCGGCAAGAGTGTCTTATACACAGTAAGAGTCCAATACAGAATAGCTATGTGGGATGCTCACTGCAGTGCTCCATAAATATTAGGTACAAATCACTCTAAGCAGAAAATAAGTCCTTGGTGCAGGCCCAGAAAGACTTTCAAACAAATCGATGCCAGAGACTCTGTATCCTGGGGCTGGCGGGAGAATTAAATGAGATTACACGAAAAACGTTTAAAACTGCCGTTGGCTAAAAGTAAACGCTCAGTAAAATCACTGGCCTTTATTATTGGGCGTAGGCGCTCTGAAGGAATAGGATCCCCCACCCCACGCCCAAACCCGCTTGCCCCGCCGCTCACCCGGGACCCCAGGGTGCGGGTGGCATCCCTGCAGCGTAGAGACATTTCCTTTACATGACTAGCGCAGCGGAAGGATTGAGGGATAGCTAAGTGCAGGGAAAGGACAGATCGAAAATACGTCGCTCCGTTTATAACAAACAGTCGAGCTACTCCACGGTTGGCTGCTTTAGCCTTGCGTGACGTCGCGTACTCATGACGCTAGACGCAGGCCCCTCCCCTTACGGGATACAAGTACGTGATGAGGAAAGACGTTCCTTCTTTGCCGCGTTTACTGCGAGGTGAGGTTGTTTCTGTGCTCTGGGGGCATTGGGAATCTGAACCCATCAGCTCTGGGAAAGGCTGCGGCGCGGCTCCTACTCTCGGACCCCTTATCCTGTTTGTCCCCCACCTCGGCAAGCGCCGTATGAGCCTGGCGGCGCCGGATGCGAGTCCTATTCTGGGCTTTTTGGCCTATTCCTGCCCCTTAACCTTGTCGGGATGGTGCCGCCCAAATAGGACTTACTGGGTTGAGCTGAGCGGCACTTCCCCCGCTGGTTTTCGTAACGCTCGCTTTGGGGCTGCTCCTTACAGCCCGGGACGCACTGGGGCCCGCTGTCGGTCTCCTGTCCTATATCCTCTCCGGAACTTAGGTCCGGCAGTGTTCGGTAGGAGTGGATCTCTGTGCTGTGTAGTTAGGTGGAAAACAGGCCTTACATCGGCCTCACCCCCAGTGTTTGTGTTTCAGAATGAAGACCATTCTCAGCAATCAGACTGTCGACATTCCAGAAAATGGTATGAGACTTGATGGCTTTTTCTTACATCTTTACTAGACGTTTCAAGCGTTGTGTGATCTGACAAGTGTATTCTCTTCTAGTCGACATTACCCTGAAGGGACGCACAGTTATCGTGAAGGGCCCCAGAGGAACCCTGCGGAGGGACTTCAATCACATCAATGTAGAACTCAGTCTTCTTGGAAAGAAAAAAAAGAGGGTGAGTTTTTTTTCTTCTTCTGATAATTCAGTTGCTTGTTTGGAAGGTAGTTTATAACAGTATCACATTTGGTTGCTTTAACAATTTTCGAATTGAGGTTTAGTGCTTTATTATAGTTTTAAATGTTGTCCAGAATAGCAGTCAGTTTTGCCTTAGTGAAACTGAAAAACCAGATTCCGAACAGTGGATTATATGAAGCTCAAATGTAGTAGTGGTTATCAAAGTGGCACGTCTTAATGGTGTTAGAAACTTGGCTTATTTTCCTCGTGATTGCTTTGTCAGAATCTTCGGAACTGGCAGTAGGTCTTTTAAACCTGGTGATTTAATATTCCAGAAGGGAAATTTGTCATAACTTGTACAAAGTTTAACTGTTGGGAGGATTTATAGGTGGTTGGATTTTTCCGGTTGAAAACCATGTGCTTCGATTAGGGTTAATTCTTGAATCTTAAAGCAATTCGGTAAGTGGTCTGCTCTCTTTTAAGCCTACATATTTCTGGAAAGAATAATTTTTTGTTTTATTACAGCTCCGGGTTGACAAATGGTGGGGTAACCGAAAGGAACTGGCTACGGTTCGGACTATTTGTAGTCACGTACAGAACATGATCAAGGGTGTTACGCTGGTAAGCAGATGGATCAGACTGACTTGTTTTGGAAAGGGAGGTTTCTCACCTGTGTTTTATTTATATAGCATAAGTGATTATTTCAGAGAATGGATTATGCATTTTGTTTGGTGTAATGCACGACCTCTAGAACTTAGCAAAAAAAGTAGGTATCTCTGGGTCTTTAAGATCAAGTGATACAGCTGAGAGTAAAGACCAGATGGGTACAACATGTTTGGCATTTCATTCTGTTTTTTGAAATCAAGACTGCAGTCTCGCTGTTTTGCCCAGGCTGAACTCCTGAGCTCAAGCGATGTTCCCATCTTGGCCTCCCATAATACTGGGATTGCAGGCGTGAGCTACCACGCATGGCTAGATGGCTGCAACTTTTAAAAAGTAGGCTAATGGTGAATTTTCACACCTTCAAATTGCCTTTTTTTAAACAGGAACTCTGCAGTTGCAGTACATAGGACAGGCTTTGATTACCAGTTGACAATCAGATCTCACCTTCAGGACCCCTTGTTGGGATAGAACAAGATGTAGTTTCTGAGTTTTCTCTATTGCTGTAAATGTATGTCACTCTTCTTTCCAGCCCACCGTTTCTCCCCTCAAGATAAAAAGTTCATGCTGAAATGGTTTTCTTTGCATTATGCCTCTAGAGTGCACCTGATAATGGCAACCTGTACATCTATTATAAATCTGTTAAGATTCCGCCATCTACCCTTGCTCCCAGACAGGCAGGGGCACTGTCTTTGGCCTCAATTCTTGCCACGTGGTGTACCTTAGTAACTCAGTAAATGTTAGTCTAATGTCGCTTTGGGGTTCTCATTAAAAGAAGTTAGCATCTTTTACTGGGGGCATACGGGATAGTGAAATAAATGCCTCCATAAGGAACTTTACAGTCTACTGAATAGAACAATGTTTGTAAGGCTTGGTTCAAGTGACACTTGTTAGAAAATCTTGACAGAGTGTTACATTTTAAAATAAGTATAATCATAGAAAATTTAAAAAGTATTAAAAAATATTCCTCAGCGGGATGGGGGCAGAAAAAAATATTCCTCAGCATTGCTAATTGCTTATTTATTTAACATAGGGCTTCCGTTACAAGATGAGGTCTGTGTATGCTCACTTCCCCATCAACGTCGTTATCCAGGAGAACGGGTCTCTTGTTGAAATCCGAAATTTCTTGGGTGAAAAATACATCCGCAGGGTTCGAATGAGACCAGGTATGTGCATACCCTCAGATAGAATTGAGACATTTTCCTTCATATTTTTCTTCTCCTCCATTTCCGCCTCCTTTATACTTCCATGTGTTTGCTCTGAGTGAAACGGTATTTTAGAATTGTCTCTTGATTATGCTTACAACTGTTGGTGCTACTTGGGGGTTTATATTATTATATTGATTACAATTGCAGAAAGTTGATACACTGGAGTAGTTTGCAGTGGTGGTTGTATTTAATTGCCAAATGAGATCTTAAAGATTTGATTTACAAAAGGTGTATATAATGGTGTGTATTTATGGAGCACAGTGTCATGTTTTAATACATGTATATTCTGTGGAATGACCAAATTAGGCTAATTAACATATCCATAACTCCACTTCTTCATGGTAAGAACCTTTAAAATCTAAAGAAAACCACATGAATAGTGGTTAATAGCTTAGCTTCAGTTTCAGCTTTCACTATCCACATTGGGCAGATCATCTCTCTGTAGCTTAAAATTGTAAACATCTTTGATTAAATGAGTTAAAGTTAAAAAACATACCAGTACACACGTAGTACATAGTAAACACTGAATTTAAAAATTTTTAGTTTAGTACTTTTTTATTTGAGGCATGGTCTTGCTCTGTTGCCCAGGCTGGAGTGCAATGGCTTGATCTCAGCTCATTGCAGCATCCACCTCCTGTGTGCAGGTGTTTCTCCCACCTCAGCCTCCCCACTAGCTGGGACTATAGGTGCAAATTTTTTGTAGAGGCAGGGTCTTGCTATGTTGTCCAGGCTGGTCTGGTACTTGTAGGCTCAAGCAGTTCTTCCACCTTGGCCTTTTAAGGTGCACCTGGTTCAGCCTCTTGATGCATTTTTGTTCCATTGGGGTGGGAGGGGTGGGAAGAAGGGAGATTATTAGTATCAAATTAATGGCACTCCAAAAATAATGCCACGATATTAGCTATGCTCAGCAACATTTAATGAGAACCCATATGTAAAAATAAACTAAGACTTGGTACAAAGCTTTGTACAACTAAATCCTGCTATTCAAGTATCTTAATTGAATCACCAAAGGAATAACCACCATGGGACTGTGATTTATTCAAGTAGGAACACAAATAAAGTTACAGTACAGCTAAGGCAGGTGCTGTAAAACCAAAATCTTAAAGAAAGGTTCATGGCCGGGTGCAGTGGCTCATGCCTGTAATCAAAGGTTCATTTGGCGCATGGAGTTTTACATGGAATCAATTAATGCCTCTGCAATTTAAATATTTTTTACACAGATCTGGTTTTGTATTGATGCTATGTAAATACCCTCTGCTTTTAGGTGTTGCTTGTTCAGTATCTCAAGCCCAGAAAGATGAATTAATCCTTGAAGGAAATGACATTGAGCTTGTGTCAAATTCAGGTTTGTATGTTTAGTATGTCTAATTATGCCTACAAGTTTTCATTTGATTAGCTTTTTAAATTACGAAAATAAAGAGGTAACATTCTGAAATTGTAAGTAGAGGATATAATAAAATCCTTATTTTTTTTTTGAGACGGAGTTTCGCTCTTGTTACCCAGGCTGGAGTGCAGTGGTGCAATCTCGGCGCACTGCAACCTCCGCCTTCTGGGTTCAAGCAATTCTCCTACCTCAGCCTCCCAAGTAGCTGGGACTATAGGCTGCGCCACCATGCCCAGCTAATTTTTATATTTTTAGTAGAGACGGGGTTTCACCATGTTAACCAGGATGGTCTCGATCTCCTGACCCAGTGATCCACCCATCTCATCCCCACAAAGTGCTGGGATTATAGGCGTGAGCCACCACTCCTGGCCCTGAAATTCTTTCTTTTTAAGATTGGTTAGGTTGATGTGTTAATTGCTTTATCTTCATTGCTGTAGCGGCTTTGATTCAGCAAGCTACAACAGTGAAAAACAAGGATATCCGGAAATTTTTGGATGGTATCTATGTCTCTGAAAAAGGAACTGTTCAGCAGGCTGATGAGTAAGACCTTAGAGGTAGGTTCTTGTAGTTTTATTACTGCTTTAGTTGAATGAATGTCTTAATTTACTAAGAGACTTAAACCAGAGTTGTTATAATGGAAAATGGAGCGTTAAGGATTCTGGAACACAGTAAATTTGACAGAATAAGAGATGGAATTGGCATGCATTTTACTATGTGTATAGTTTACTATGTATAAGTCATAGTCTTGAGGTATGTTTTAGATTATTTAGAATAGTACAAAAAAAGATTACTACTTTTCTGGGCAGGGGCACTGATAGGAATTAACAGATATTTTTGTTTCTTTTTACAGTTGTCCAGCTACAGAAACAAGATGCCTATCGTAGCTAAGACCTACTTGTGATACTTAAATGATGCAATAAAAGACCTATTAATTTGGAACTTTTTCTTAAACCATTTATCCGTTTTTTAGCTAGTTTTTCTCCCTCATGGAACAAGGGGAATCTGGCTTGAAGGAATAGCAAGGATATATTTTAGGCACGAGGAATATTGCTTCAGTGACAGGCAAACATGAGGCCGTTCATCATTGCATATAGCACTTTGAGACCACCCTGAAGGTATCTAAATTTGCTGAGGCATGAATTTGAATATTTGGTAAGGCAGGTTGTTCTAGTTAGTTTTAAAAAAACAGCTGAGGAGTGGAACAAAGTGATACAGCATCAGTAAGAATTAGAAGGTGCATTTGGTTTGGTTCATGGTCTCAATAATCTTGTCCTTTACCCTACCTCTGCCATTTACTCCCATACCCTAGAACTTGTTTTTAAAAATGTTTAACCCTTCTATAATCTCTTAATTCCATGTGTCACATTTTAAATATGGTATGAGACCACCATAACTAGACTTAGGTTAACATGGTGACTGCCCTCCCCATCCCCAACCCTTCCTGAATTCTACATCTCATTTGATGGAAGCTAATTTCTCAGGCAAAATTTAACATTCATCATTGATCAAATGCATCAGGAAAACAGGTATCTTCATTGTAAGGTACGTTCAGATACTTTATCAGAAAAAGTAACTAAAAGGAGAGCCATAGCAACCAGTTGGAATATGTGTATCTAAGATCTTACAAGGTCTTGCTCAGTTGCCCAGGCTGGAGTACAGTGCCATAGTCGTAGCTCTGTAACTTCAGACTCCTGGACTCAAGTGATGCTCCTGCCTTCCTCAGCCTCCTTAGTAGCTAGAGCTACAGGCAGGCACTGTCAAATCTGTTTTATTGTTTTTTGTTTTTTTTTTTTTTTTTTTTTAGCATAGATGGCGTCTCATATTGCCCAGGCTGGTCTTGAACTCCTGGCTTTAGGTGTTCCTTCCACTTCACCTCCTAAAGGGCTGGGATTACAGGTGTGGGCCACCATGCCCTATAAATCTTAGATCTTGATTCAAGTACACCAACTGAATATATGATATTCAGGAATCTGATGACTATTTAGGTTTTTAAGAAATTGGAGGAAATGATAAATCTAGAAATAATCTGGGATGGGGTTGTAGGCAATGATGGGATCAACATGAAATAAGGTCACATCCCCTGAAGAGTTGGGAAATAAGGCTTATTAAATACAAATTTCTTACAATGTAGAAAATGAAACAACCTGTATTTTACCTGGATTGCTGTGGCAGTCTTAACTGGTTGTCTTCTATTATTTACAGCAACAACCAGGGTACTGAGTTTGAAATGGATTATAGCACGTTTCAAATTCTGTAATGGGTTTTTTCCCTTTTTTCTTTTTAAAATAGCTTCCCCATTGCACCTGCAGCTGTTTTTAACCCAATCTTTCTGACTTATGCACTATAGCTGAATTGACCTGGCTATTCCTTGATACCAAACACTCTGCCATTAAGCCTTTAAGTTATTTTTTTCCCTTTGGAATGCTCTCAGCTGAGCTGTGTGGCTAACTTGCTTACCTGCAGGTCTATTCAGTGAATCCTGCCTTGACCACACTATTAAAAATAGTGGCACCACCTCCGTTAGCTTGTGCTACTGTCTCCTTACCCTTCTCCACTTGTTTTTGTTTATAGCATTTATAAATTTAATATTTACAGTTTGCCTTGTTGTGTATTGATTATTTGCTTTTTCCTGCTAGAATGTAACCTTTGGAAGGATGTAAGTTTGTACTCTGGTGTATTCCAAGTATTTAGAACAATGGCATGTAGCTGTTAACTGAGTGAATGGTTCCTGGATTGCCAGGGACTCATTTACAGCAGTGGGGTTGGAAGGGAGATGTTTTGGAAGGTACTGACAGGATTTCAAAACAATATGAGGCTAGTGGGAGAGGTTTCCAAGTGGCAATATTATAGTGGGATGGAGGTGTTAATGAGGATCAGCTTATGGGTAGTAGCTGCTGTGGGAGTAAATGAGGTTTCTCGGCATGAAATGGATTGGTATGCTGGGTGTGACCTTCATAGGATAACTTAGAGGCTGGTTGTAGGTGAACTGATTTTTTTTTTGTTGTTGTTGTTGAGGTGGAGTCTCACTCCATAGCTCACGCCATTGCACTCCAGCCTGGGTAACAAGAGTGAAACTGTCTCAAAAAAAAAAAATTATAAAAACAGTGCAAAAGTGCTTATCCATAGTAAACACAGAAGACAAGTTTTCCTAGGACAACTATGCTTATTTATTATACCCAAGTTCTTTACAGTTTGAGTGTAATAAAACTGGAGTGCAGTCATGCAATTCTGGCTCACTGCAACCTCCACCTCTCAGGTCCCTGTTCAAGCACTTCTGCCTCAGGCTCCTAAGTAGGTCGGAGTACAGGAATGTGCCACCATATCCAGCTGATGTTTGTATTTTTAGTAACCATGTTAACCAGCCTGGTCTTGAACTCCTGACCTCATGATCCACCTGCCTTGGCCTCCCAGAGTGCTAGGATTACAGGTGTGAGCCATCATCCCTGGCCTGATTTTTTTTTTTTTTAAATTAAATAACTTGGGTATAATAAATAAGCATAGTTCTCCTGGGAAAACTTCTTCCTTGTCTTCTGTGTTTACTATGGATAAGCACTTATGCACTGTTTTTATAATTTTTTTTTTTTGAGACAGAGTTTCACTCTTTGTTATCCAGGAGTGCAATGGTGTGATCATGGCTCACTGCAACCTCCGCTCCTGGGTTCAGGCAATTCTGCCTCAGCCTCCTGAGTAGCTGGGATTACAGGTGCAGGCCACCATGCCCAGCTAATTTTTTGTATTTTTAGTAGAGACGGGGTTTCACTATGTTGACCAGGATGGTCTCGATCTCTTGACCTCATGATCCACCCACCTCGGCCTCCCAAAGTGCTGGGATTACAGGCTTGAGCCACCGCGCCCGGCTTGTTTTTATGATTTTTAGATGTGAGTGTCCGCATATTTTTGAGAGGGGATCTTTGTCACCCAGGTTGGAGTACAGTGGCTAGATCTTGGCTCACTGTAACCACTGCCTCCCAGGCTTAAGCTATCCTCCCACCTCAGCCTTCTGTGTAGCCAGGACCACAAGTATGTGCCACCATGCCTGGCTAGTTTTTTGGAGAGACAGGGTTTTGCCATGTTGTCATAGCTGGTCTCAAATCTCCTGAAGTCAAGCAATCCCCCCCCCCCCCCCCCCCCCCCCCCCCCCGCCTTGGCCTCCCAAAGTGCTGGGGTTACACAGGTGTGAGCCATCACACCTGGGCCACTGTTTAAAAAACCTACCTGGAAGTAACATACCAGCTTGGTACACAACTAGGCAGAAAGGGGTTCAGGGGAGGCAGTCTTGGGGCAGAGCCCATTTACAATGCCAAACGCATTCACATTCTACTGTTCTTAAAATTGACTAGATTGTTAGTTGAATACAAGTAGTCAGCATGAACCAGTTTATTTTAAATAAATTACATTGAAAATTAAACATGTCACAATGTACTGGCCTCATTTTCCAGAGGCTCTTTAAATACAGTTGTGCTATTTCCAGGTTATACTGAATATACCATAGAAACAAGTTTTTTCACGACACAGCTCAGAAAAGCTTAAATTCCGAAGATGTTACCTATTTGCTCCTTTCAACAGGGATCAGCAGTTTCTCATCAGCCTTTCATGGTTTTTAGATGAGTTTATGATAAACCTGAATATTTAGTATGAAACCATGAACCAGATTTTATTTATTTATTTATTTTATTTTTGAGACGGAGTTTCGCTCTTGTTACCCAGGCTGGAGTGCAATGGTGCGATCTCGGCTCACTGCAACTTCCACCTCCTGGGTTCAGGCAATTCTCCTGCCTCAGCCTCCCAAGTAGCTGGGATTACAGGCAAGTGCCACCATCCCCAGCTAATTTTTGTATTTTTGGTAGAGACGGGGTTTCACCTTGTTGACTAGGATGGTCTCATCTCTTGACGTGATCCACCCACCTCAGCCTCCCAAAGTGCTGGGATTATAGGTGTGAGCCACTGCACCATGAACCAGATTAAATGGTTAACCTAATTTGTTAGTGGTTAAAAAAAATTGAAGGATTTTTGGATTCTTGTGCAATAACAGCTTAAAAACTGGTAATTACCAAGTGGCAGAGAAGGAGGACTCTTGAGTACTGGGTGAGGAACTTTACTATTTGGGGGAGTTTATAGTAAACCAGCAAGTTAGAAAAGGGGGGGACATGCTTTAAGCCTAAGTTTTTTTCTTTTGAGACAGTTTTGCTTGTTAATCAGGCTGGCGTGCGATGGCTCCATCTCGGCTCACCGCAACCTCCGCCCCCTGGGTTCAAGCAGTTTTCCTGCCTCAGCCTTCCAAGTAGCTGGGACTACAGGCACGCACCACCATGCCCAGCTAATTTTTGTATTTACTTTAGTAGAGTCAGGGTTTCACTCTGTTGGCCAGGATGGTCTCGATCTCCTGACCTTGTGATCCACCCTCCTTGGCCTCCCAAAGTGCTGGGATTATAGGTGCGAGCCACCACTCCCCACCTAAGCATAAGCTCTTAATGTGAAAAAGACAAATAGTGAAGGTTAATGGATTTGTGAACTGTGAATATGAGATACTTTAATCAAAGGCCAGGGAGATAGAAAGCAAAACCTGAAAGATAAATTCCAAGTTTTTGTTACTTCTGTGACCGACTGCATTTCTTTTCAAGACATTAATGTTAGAGAGAGATTAATGAGTTGCCCAGCTGACAGAATTTTCACTGGAGTTCTTAGGTCAGGGTGAATCAGTGTAGTACAAAGGGGAAAAAACCCAGCCAAGGGATTCTTTTAAATGACTTGGTGTTTGTATATAGTTAGTGTAATAAAACAGAATTGACTAGTAGTATGCATAACCTTAGGCACATAGTTCTCAGAGGTAAATATTAATATTTAAAAGTTCCTTGTAAATGATACCTCAAAACTGCCAAGTTTGGGGTAGTGGGTGCAGCTGGGGGCAAGGAGACTAGAGAAGAATAAAGCAGAATTTTACTGTTTCTGTTTGGCAGGCCAAATAGCAAACTGATTTCTCGTCAGGTTTGCATTTACTTGAATTGACTAATTGTAATTTCTCTTTACAGTATCCTGGAAACTTGTTCATTAGCAATTAGAATTTCAGTTGGGTACTGAATTTAGCTTCAGACATAGGTGGACCTAGATCATAATCAAAACTGCCTTAATTTAATCAGGCTTTATAACAACATTTCCTGTGACTGTTAAGGTCTAAGTTGCTGGAGTGAGCAGACAGGGACTGGTTACTGTGTGCAATGGATGTTAAATGTTGACTAACAGAATAGGTATAAATAGGGGCATATTTAAGTTTTCTTCCTCAATTGTACTTTATACACTGAACAAGTCTCAAGGACAGATTTCATTTCCCAAAATGTCAAATAATCCAAGTTCAGTTCTAGTAATTTACTTAACCCTAGCCCAAAAGGGTGTTACATAAAACTAATTCAGACCATCAGCATTCTGAAACGTTGCTATACTTGCAGTATAGCAACTTTCTTATATTCACAGAGTTGAGTCTAGCTTTCCTTCATCCTGTGATCTTTCCATGAGATGACTTTTGGAAATTATGGTTTTTTTTTTCTTGAGGGACAGTCTTGCTATATCATCCAGGCTGGAGTGCAGTGGTGTCATCTCAGCTCACTGCAACTTCAACCTCCTGGCTTCCTAGTAGCTGGGATTACAGGAGGTGCCCGCCACCACGCCTGGCTAATTTTTGTATTTTTAGTAGAGATGGGGTTTTGCCATGTTGGCCAGGGTGGTCTTGAACTCCTGACCCCAGGTGACATGCCCACCTTGGCCTCCCATATGCTGGGATTACAGGTGTGAGCCATCATCATGCCCAGCTGGAAATTGTTATTTTTTTTAATTGAGACAGTTTTTTTTTTGAGGCGGGGTTTTGCTCTTGTTTCCCAGGCTGGAGTGCAATGGCGCGATCTCAGCTCACCGCAACCTCCGCCTCCTGGGTTCAGGCAGTTCTCCTGCCTCAGCCTCCTGAGTAGCTGGGATTACAGGCACGCGCCACCATGCCCAGCTAAATTTTTGTATCTTTAGTAGAGACGGGGTTTCACCATGTTGATCTGGATGGTCTCGATCTCTTGACCTCGTGATCCACCCGCCTCGGCCTCCCAAAGTGCTGGGATTACAGGCTTGAGCCACCGCGACAGTTTCACTCTGTTTTCAGGTGCCAGACTGGAGTGCAGTGGCGCGATCTTGGCTCACCGCAACCTCCTAGGTTCAAGCAATTCTCCTGCCTCAGCCTCCCGAGTGGCTGGGACTACAGGCACATGCCACCATGCCCAGCTAATTTTTTTATTTTTAGTAGAGGCGGGGTTTCACCATGTTGACCAGGATGGTCTTGATCTCTTGACCTCGTGATCCACCCGCCTCGGCCTCCCAAAGTGCTGGGATTATAGGCGTAAACCACCGCGCCCGGCCAGGAAATTGTTATTTTTAAGAATCAAGTCTAGTAAAAGATTACAAATTAGATGTTCTGTAGATGATTTCCTTTTCTTTAGAAAAATGAAGGGCTTGATGCTCTTAAGAATCTGTTGTAACTGGCTTAGACAAGCACTACTTACCCTATTGTATGTTTTTTTCCATTTTATAACAACCCTGACCTAAAGGGGAAAGTACGTTGTTAGAAGTGACAGAATATATATTATCTATCACTGACTATCCAGCTTGAAGAGTGTTGAATCTCTGTTAAAGTATTTTAACAAAGTTTTGCTTGTTTTTTTGAGACAGTCTCAGTGTTGCCCAGGCGAGTGGAATGGCCCGATTTCAGCTCAGTGTAACCTCCGCCTCCTGCGTTCAAGCAATTATCCTGCCTCAGCGCCCCCCAAGTAGCTTGGATTACAGGCACCTGCCACCATGCCTGGCTAATTTTTATATTTTTAGTTGAGACAGAGTTTCACCATGTTGGCCAAGTTGGTCTCAAACTCCTTACCACAGGTGATCTGCTTACCTTGGCCTTCCAAAGTGCTGGGATTACAGGTGTGAGCTACCATGTCCAACCCGAAGTTTCATGTTTAAAAAATAATTTATTGTACTACAAGTAGGTATTGGTAGAGATGAAAGCTAGAGCAGAATGATGGAATACAGTTCATGAAACTTCAAGAAGCAATGTGTCATGTAATCTTCATAGCTTACTGTCAGGATGAAGCCTTTATCTTTACAGCTAAGAACTGAATTCACCGATGTCAACACCTAAGGGAAAGTTTGAACCATGCAGTAGAGACATTGATTGTCATCACCTTGGTTACAGCTGTATCTCATACTGTCTGTCTTTAATACAGGTGTATCTCCTGTAAGTTACCAGCATATGAAACTGGAATGAATTTTTAAACTGTCTATCATGCAGACAAGATCAGTTTAGCTAAGAACTCTCTTGTGCTCTTTCTTTAATGGTATGTGTTGTAAGTTCTTAGCTTTCCAAAACTTTCTTCTCTTTTGCTTATGAAAAATGGTAATTAATAAGAGTAGAACCAGGGTGGAGAAGAAGCAACAACCTAAGAATATCAGTGGTTTCTTCTGCGCAAGGAATAAGCAGACAGTGCACTCTGTGTTTCTTTGTATCTGATTGCATCTAGAAGTACTGTTCTCAGAAGGAAAGCCACTGCTGCTGATCACTTTGTTGTAAAACTGTATTGAGGATTTAGCTTTAAAATCAGATGTGAAGAATCCAAATCTGGGTTTAGATTTCTCTTCAGTCAGTTTGAATGCATAATAGCCTTTGATTCTGACTTTATCAATCAGGTGTGCTGAAAAACATCAAATTAACATTAATCACAAATGGACTATGAAATATCTTTCAATAAGAATTTAGTTTTCATTGAAACAAGCTAAAATTATGCCCATAAAAGTAGTGATTTCTATTAGAGGTGGGTTTTTTTTTTGACATTTATTCTTTTATGATCTATGTAACGGATAAGGTGAAAATGTATATGTTAATAATTTAAGTCTAAAAGAAATCTGTAGTAAAACTTTGATTCATAAATAATCCAAAAACTCTTGGAGGAAAAAGCAAACTTAAGCAGAGCTGAAAAGGTTGAAACTTTCGTTTAAGGGGTCACAAGCAGAAAAATGTCACCTATTTGGCCTGATTCAGATGTGCTCTGGTGAAGCCCAGGAATCACACAGTTGGTTTCTCCCACTCACTTTTGCTTGCTTAGGCTACCATGATGTGATTATTTCACACTGCATGCCTGTATCTAAACATTTCATGTACCCTATAAATATATATACCTACTGTGTACCCACAATTTTTTTAAAAAAGCCTAGCAAGCATGCTGAAAAGTAATCCAAAACAGATGGCAGTGTTTATCTTGGGGAGTGAGATTTCAGGTGATTTTAAAAAAACTTTCTTCACCTGCCCAGTTTCTCTAATGGGTCTATTACTTTCAGGGCTTAAAAATTTTTTCAAAACTCCGTTCATTCTTTGTTCATGTCAGGTAACAGGAATTTTGCTGTGCCCAGTGTCTAAACGGGCCCCGCCCTTACCTTTCAGCACTTCCTGGAGGTACTTCTCCAGGTAGTACTTCCGGAGTCGGTCATCCTCCGGAGCCTGGTCGTCAATGCCGATGGCCGTGATGTAAATGTCTATATCGCCGTAGTTCCTCTGAACCCACCGCAGCAGCTTGCGCGCCCCCCAGGGAATCACAGCCAGGCGCGTTGGGGAGCTCAGTCGGGTGATGTCCTGCAGAAACTGGATGTCCCTGTCCGAGTCGTAGCGGCTGCCGGCCAGCTGTTGGTGCATCACGAACCTGGTGGTGAAGTGGTTGAGTGCGCAGAAATCGACCGCGCCCTTGAGCAGCCTTCTGTTGGCCTCTGTGAGGCGCGGCAGCGTGGAGCTGGAGAGCCCCCTCCGGTGCTTGGAGGCGATGTACTCCTTCATGGCAGCGGGGTAGTCCCCGGTCTTGAAGAGCGGTTCGGCGAACCAGGCGATCTCAAACTGCAGGAAGCGCTCGGCCGCTGTCCAGTGGGAGTCGGCGTAGGGGTTGGCGGGTTCCGCCCAGTCCGCGTGCAGCGACAGCGACACGGCCCCGCTCTGGGACGGCCTGAACTCCCGGTCGTAGAGGTGCCAGGCCAGGGCGTGGGCCACCAGCAGGTTGTGCGCCGCCCTGTAGGTGTCGTTGCCAGAGCGGTTGTAGATGTCGCTCAGCCGGTTAGGCTCGTTGATGGTGATCCAGAGCTTCACCAGGTCCCCCAGCTCCTGGAAGCACAGCCCCGCGTAGGCCTGGAAGGCCTCAGCCGTCCATGGGTTCAGCCACCCCCCGCCGTGCAGCAGAGGGGCAGGGAGGCCTAGGTGGGCATGGGTTGGATAGTACAGGGTGACCATCGCAGAGATGCCAAGCTTCAGTCCCTCAGTGACTAGGCACCTGTAGTACCGCAGGGCCTGTCGGTTCACCACTGACAGGTTGCCAGTGGGAAGGACCGAGGCCCAATCCAGAGCAAACCGGTAGTGGGTGACTTTCATCATTGCCAACATCTTAAGTTGTTTTTTGATGTTCACAAAATCTGTGCATTGAGCGGGTCGTGTTTTCAGCCTCACCCCTTCCACTCGGTGCAGCAGTCTGTTCCCAGTGGCGTTCCACACGTACAGGTGAGGATCACTGAACTGTGGGGATGAAGCCACAGACTCGGGCTGTGAAAAACAAGCTCATTCAGGTCAGGCATGTGCTGGCAGACAGAGGCTCCTAGCATATGCGGTTTGCGAGGCCTGATCTTTTTCTGCTTCTCACTGACCAAAGAAGAGATAAATGGGGTATGTGCCCTTCATATGGACCTGGCTGCTCTGGCTGTTCTGGTGATGTCAGAGCAAAGGCCTGATGAAACAGCCTCTCTTCCAGCTTCCCCGCCCTGTTTTGTATTGTTTTGTTTTTGAGACGGAGTCTCTTTCTGTTGCCCATGCTGGAGTGCAATGGTGCCATCTCTGCTCACTGCAACCTCTGCCTCCCGGGTTCAAGTGATTCTCCTGCTTCAGCCTTCCAAGTAGCTGAAATTACAGGTATGTGCCACCATGCCCCGCTAATATTTTTGTGTTTTTAGTAGAGATGGGGTTTCACCATGTTGGCCAGGCTGGACTGGAACTCCTGACCTCAAGTGGTTGTCCCAATTTGGCCTCCCAAAGTGCTGGCATAACAGGCGTGAGCCACCTTGCCAGGCCTCTTACAGCCCTTGAAATCTCCCAGGGAGACCAGAAAACAGGAGGAGCCACACCCAGGCCCTGGCTTGGAAAACAAGTTGTTTGAGAAAACATTGGGAAGCCATTTTCCAGTTCATTTGACTTTAAACCCCAGGTTATGTGATGGGGTTTGATGTGAGTCTGTTCAAATGCCTCAGGAAATTGGCTTGGTACCCTCAGTTAAAAGCAATTACAAAAGATAGATTCCAAACCCTGCCATAAACAGAAGACAAAGTTGAAATTCCCATTGTAGAGATTTCACTGAGAAGACAAGGCTAGTTGACCCCAGGCACAATTCCTAAAAGAGGCCGGTGAGATAGGGTAAGCAATGACTCCTTGCATTTGCTGAATGCAGCTTTCTAATTTCTATTTGAAAAGTCCAAGTGACATCACATTTGCATCCATCATGTCTTCCTGACCCATGTGCCTGTGAGAACATAGCATTGATTCATCCAACAGAATGCTGACACATTTTCTATGCAAGGCGTTTGGGTGGGTTATGGGTGGAAAGGACAGTAGAATATCCCCAGAAATCCCCAAGGTTGACACTTGGATCTGATAGTGTCTCATTCCCTGTCTCTTCATGAAGGAGAGAGCCCTGGACACCGGTTCTAGTTCTGCCCTTTTGAAACTCAGCCTTGGCAACTATATAGTGATGGAGTAATCGCACCCACCTCACAGGTGTGCTGTGAGGACTCTGACTCTGGGAAGGTGCTCTGGCAACTCTAATGCACTATACAAACACAATGTAGTCATGACTTGCGTTTCATTTTCCCTAGTGGCAATAATTGCCTACTAGGCCCTTGAGTCTAAATTAAAACAAAGCCCTTGACTTAAAAACATTTCCAAATTCAGGATTAATAAGGGAAAATAAAAGTTCTGTACTTGTTTTAAAGTTCATTTTTTCCCCTCATGACTGAATTTAAACACACCAGGAAAAAACGATAATTAACCTTTGGTAAATATTTTCCTTCTAATTGTTTTTTTGTGTCATCTTTCATAGTTTAATTACAAAACCATATCATTGCCCATTTGCCATCTGCCAACCAGTTATCTAGAACATTAAACTAAGAGAACATTGATCATGTGAGCATGAAGTTAAATCTGTATATAATTTATTTGAGTAAAATCTTCCTAGCCTAGATGGCCAGTTTCAGTGTTTTGAAAACTCAGAACATTATGGTAGTGAAGGAAGTTTATAAAAGGCAGTCTTGCTACGGGGCAAGGCAAAACCAAATACAAATACGTCTTACGTTAAAAACCTTTAGAAAACATTAGTCTTAGCAAGTGTGTCTGATTAATCTGCTAAGATATTAATTTTCCAGTTAAAGATGATACGTCCCAATCCCAACTACAGCTCCCAGAGCTTGTTTCTAAAATCCTATTCCCCACCAAAAGGACCCTGTACTACTTGTAGAAATGGCTTTTTCCAAGAGAAGAAAGACGAAGCTGGGGCATCTTGTGCCAGAAAATAAGGAAGTGCTTAAAAACTGAAAGGAAAATGTAGAAAAGACAGGAACAGCTTGAGGGGTCCCATTGACTAAATTTGAAACAATTTGAGCATCAAAAGGAACAATAGTGTCATGACAATAATGAATTATAAAACATCAAACTTAAAAGAATCCAGCTAATAAATATAGAGGGAATAATCTGATTACTACAAAGTAATAGTTGAGGCAAGGTTCATGAATGAATGTTTAAACCATGAAGTGAAATACTGAGGAATAGGATATTCACAGAGTCCCAAGTATCAACGTCAGATTACTTCTTTTTTTTTTGAGGTGAAGTCTTGCTCTGTTGCCCAGGCTGGAGGGCAATGGTATGATCTTGGCTCTAACTTCAGCCTTCACCTCTGAGGTTCCACCTGTGGAACAAAAGCAAAACTCCATCTCAAAAAAAAAAAAAAATTAAAATTAGCCGGTGTGGTGGCGCACGGCTGTAATCCCAGCTACTTGAGAGGCTGAGGCAGGACAATCACTTGAACCCAGGAGGCAGAGGTTGCAGTGAACTGAGGTCTCACCATTGCACTCCAGCCTGGGCAATGGAATGAGACTGTCTCAAAAAAAAAAAAAAAAAAAAATACAGTCAATAGCGTGGTATTGTAAAGTTCTAAAGCATCGTAGTTGGAAGACAGACCTAGGTGACCTGGGCAAGTTATGTAACCTCCCTAAACTTCAGTTTCCTTGCCTGTAAGATATGGGTTTTAAGATTAAGTAGGTTGGATGCAATGGCTTGCACCTGTAATCCCAGTACTTTGGGAGGCTGAGGCAGGATGTTTGTTTGAGCCCAGGAGTTCCAGATCAGTCTGGGCAACGTAGTGAGACTGCACAAAAAATAAAAAAATTAGCTGTGCATGGTGGGGTGAACCTGTAGTCCCAGGTGAAAGCTGAGGTGGGAGGATCACTTGAGGCCAGGAGGTTGAGGCTACAGTGAGCTGTGATTGCTGGGTGACAGAGCAAGATCCCATCTCAAAAAAAAAAAAAAAAAAAAAGATGAAGTATAGAGAAGGTGCATATATAAAGCAGTTAAATCACTGTGCATCTGGAAGCTTAAAGACAGTATGTTAACAGTTCGCCAGCACTTGTTATCTGAGCAAGTTGATAGGTTTTACTTTCCTCCCCATAAATGAAGAATTTGGAATGGGAGGTCTCTGAGGTCTCACCTGGCTCTAAAAGGTGATTTCTTGATTTCCAGGTAGTGTATGTAATAATAACAATGGCCAGGTGCAGTGGCTCACACCTGTAATCCCAGTATTTTGGGAGGCTAAGGAGGATGGATCACGAGGTCAGGAGATGGAGATCATTCTGGCTAACATGGTGAAACCCCGTCTCTACTAAAACACAAAAAATTAGCGTGGTGGAAGGCTCCTGTAGTCTCAGCTACTCAGGAGGCTGAGGCAGGGGAATGGCTTGAATCAGAGAGGCAGAGATTGTAGTGAGCCAAGATTGTGTCACTGCATTCCAGCCTGGTGACAGTATGAGTCTCCATCTCAAAAAAAAAAAAGTAACAACTAAAAGGTGATCTCATTTATTCACCTGGTTCTAAAAGATGAGCACCTGGCATGT